TATATACAGTGCTCGAATAGGAATATGATGTTATAATAGGCCGAATTAGTAACCAAACATGACGTCATAGCAATTTCCCTGTGTGGGTATGAATTTCTAAACATTGGCCAAAGAGCTATGCTAATGCATTGAGCGGAGTCAAAAGTGGTGTATATTAAATCGTCTAAAATGTAATGAAGTTAGCATAGAAGATACTTTTTATAACGTATATATTTTGAATGATTCATAGGTTCACAAGACAAGGTTGATTTGATTTAAATTTCCATTCAGACTAAAAATATGAAGAGCTTTGAGAGGCCTTCTAGGGGCCTAGGCAATCGCCACATCCAGTGCTAAGGCAGTCGCTGTTGATTTAGAGGTACAAATTCAGCCTAAATACTGTCATCAAGTAATTTTTTTGCAATTTCTGTATGAAATATTTGAACGATTGGACAACTGAATTGTAGAATAAGATTTTTCTTTTAACTGCAATGGCCAATGAGTCAGAAGAACATTGTTCGTATGACTGACTCTCTAGTCTAGCACTAGGCCCGTGTTCATGCGATGAGGCAATGCAAACATGTTCAAGTTTTACATCCAACGTTTATTAAGATTTATTTACCAAGGCTTTTCGATAAGTTATTTTACGATAAAAACCGTCGAAATTTACTCGAGTGGAGGCTTATTATTGTGTAAAAAAACTGCCACCTAGCAGTTTGTATTGATGTTATATCCATTATATCAGCTTTGGTTTGGTGAATAATTCGGTCTACTGTGTCCAAATACAGCCCGAAAACAAAAGTTCCTTTTTTCAGTTGTCTCTAGCAAAATTCAAGCCTGCACGCTCTTGCTATGAAGACGAGTATCATACCATTAGACTATGGAGACCTATGGTATACACGCAGATCTAATCTCACCGGCAATCTTAGGATTTCCAAGCTGTGACCTACAGTAAAATCTTTTCTAGCTTAACCGTAACTCCATGTTTGAGCATTTTAGTCAGTTGTGAATCCACCTCATTGTGGGCATAGTCCTTAAAATAAATTGTTTGTGTTGAGCTAAAAAATATTAAAATAATTACAACACTTTTCCTTTTGTCTAAAATAAAAACAAATCTTTAAGATCATTTAGGTAATATGCAAGATGCAAGTGTTGTTTAAGTGCCTTATGGTGTTGTTTAAGTGCCTTATGGTGTGCTAATAAGCCAAAAATAAAATTGTATATTTATTCAAAATCATAAGTATTGGCGGGCGGCAGATTCAGTCTTCAGTCTTGCTATCCTAATGCTCAATATAGCATGTCGGAAGAATATCCATTTCCAAAATTAAAGAAAAATACTTACCTCAAACATATACTACCGCCTTCTTCTGTAATATTAGGATGATAAAGTCTTGTTAAACACTTCACTTTTGGTGGCTGTAAATGAAAATGTAGTGTATAATATATATTTAAAGTAGCTTGTCAAAGAAAATCAATATTATTCACTATCATTATTGTTATATTATCACCACCATTGCATATAATATACATTATTGGAAACTATTATATGAATTACTAATCTATAATATAGCATTTCCTTTCCTTGAATAAACATCACCTTTGCTACTGCTCTGTAATTTTTAAAAATTGCATGTGTTTGCTGCTGTTTATATTTAAATATTTTTTTATACTCTTTTTCTCAAGTTCAAGAAAGTTTATTTTATTGTTGCTATCTGTTCATAGATATACTACATGTACTACTATCTATATTAGTAGTAGTAGTAGTATCAAAGGGCCTACTTCTGCTGCTTATCCTAAAAAAATAGTATAAAATATACTGTATGAAATATGGTATCTAAAATCCAGTGTCCCATTTTGCTAAAAGTACTTCTTGTTTGGTCGTGTTTGTAGTGTCGTCGAATATTTGGATGCACTTCAATGAATGAACACCACGCAAAGTTTAATAATTAATCCAACTTTATTCAACTCAACCAAGGCCTACGTCTATTAGACAACAAGAGAAGATTGTTCGATGTGTTGCCAATGTAACGTGTGCGCAGCTATTACAATATTGTAAACTATGTACAGTACTATGACGTGTATAATTGCATATACCACACTCCTCCTTCCTTATTTTATGCCTCTTTATGCATTGTAAATAATATAATGTTAATTAAACTTGAGCATTAATCGCTGCACTGTGTGTCTATTTTTACGTGTGAATTTCGTATAGTTAACTTTAAAACTGTAAAAAATTAACATTCATTCAAAATTTTAAATGACTATTAAAAACCATTAATTCTCATTAATTAAATTAAATTACTTCAGATCATTCGTATTATAGTACATCATATTTATAGTATTATTAAAACGTGATTACTTATCATCATTGTTGCATGTAATATATTAACTCATAATGTCCTTTTTAAAAACATTAAATTCTTTGTTATTGTCGTTCATGGAATGATAGACAATAACTGGAATTTGCGTCAGGAGAAACATGTATAGGTGTAATTTTGCCCTACCTGACGTGGAAATGTACTGAGTATTCGGTACGTTTCCATGTCAGGTAGGGCAAAATTACACCTATACAACTTTATTTATATCTCAACAAAGTCTACTTCGTTTCAATAAGACGTGTAGTCTTTTTCCGAATTCGTCCTGAAAGTCTTGGAATTGTCATAGGTGTAGGTGGTGAACAAGACAATTCGCATTTCTTTTAAATGACTGGTACACTTTGGTCATGGTCTGGTCTTTACCAACTCGCTCTTTAGTCGCTTGGCTCAATTTCACTTCGCTTGCCATCTTCAACGCTAATCAAATACGATTTTTGTGCTGTACAACTGTACCTGACCACCACTTTGCCTCTTGTCGGAAATCTTTCACTAACACTTTTCACCAACATGAATCTTTTGTCTTCTCGTGGTCCAGTTTCTGATCGCTTTGTTTGTTTAGTACACTGTTTTCTGTGATTAGGGTGCAGTAATGACACTCGCGTCCTTAATTCCCTGTCTATAAACAGTTTAGCAGGTCTTTGACCTGTAGCTGCATGTTTTGTCGTGTGATATGACAGAAGAAACCTGACCAGATTCTGTTGAAAATCTTTACCATTCGCTTGGCTGGCACTTAATGATCTCTTACATGATGGACCACCTTTCTGCCGCTCTGTTACTTGCGGCGTGGTAAGGTGCAACCTTAACATTTTTTGCACAGTTTCACTTAAAAAGACTTCAAAACTCATCACTAGTTTGACATTGGCAATATCTACTGAACAAATTTATCATCGCTTTGATAGTAGCTGCACTCGTCGTAGTGTTCACATGAATAACTTCTGGCCATTTCGAATATGAATCGACAACTACTAGATAATCTCGCTTATCTTTCTGCACGTAATCAATGTGTATTCGTGTCCAAGGTTGATCTGGCCAGATCCATGGCATCATTGGTGCTACCGTTGGCCGACTTTGTGTTTGGCGACACGCCTGACAATGCTTTACGGTTTGTTCAATATAGGAATCTATCTGCGGCCACCAAACATGGCTTCTCGCAACCTCTTTCACTCAGACTATTCCGGGGTGTGCACAATGAAGCTCTAGGAGAATTGCTTTTCTAAGGTGGAATAATTGCTCTATATCCCGAAAGCAAGCAGTCCTGTTCAACACTTAATTCGTGTTTCCATAGTAGAAATGGCTTAAGATCCTCTTGCCCTGTTTGCGTCATGTGTAACACTTTGCTTAACAGTAGATCGGTTCTCGTATAACATCGAACATTGGTACTGGTAACCGGTAAACTATCTAATTTCTGTCCTGCCATGTTGTATACTGCATCACCCTCAGACTCTCTCTCTGGCACTGGGAGACATGAAAGTGCATCGGCAGTTATGTTGTTTTCTCGGAATGAACTTTAATTCATATTCAAACGCTGACAGTATGATCGCAAATCGCTGTAACCTCTGTGCTGCCAGTGTTGGAATAGCTGTCTTAGGACCAAAAATGCGTTCCAGTGGTTTTTGATCAGTCCCTATCATAAATTTGTGTCCACAAAGGTAAGTTCTAAATCTTTGTAGTCCAAACAAAATAGCAGGATCTTCCTTATCCAATTGTGCATAACCTTTTTCGTGCATATGCAGATTTTGCGATGCATACGATTGGTCATTTAAGGCCATTGTCGTCAATGTGGCAAGTGACTGCTCCTACTCCATATGGCGATGTGTCCATGTATAGTTCTAACTGTTTTGATGTCAACATCATGTCCTCACTGAAAGTTTGCTTTACAGTGTCAAATGCTTTACTGCATTCGTCCATGGTTTATTTCCCAACAATTCATTCAATGGATGTATCATCGTCGGTAGTCGTGGAATAAATGATGCATGGTAATTAACTAATCTTAACCAGGATCTTAGTTCCGTTGTGTTACATGGCACTGGTGCACTCTTAATAGCGTTAATTTTATCGCTTGTTAGTTGAATTCCTGCACCGGAAAGTTTTCGTCCCATATAGACTACCTCTCTTTGCAGAAATTTCTGATATGCTCTGCGTCAGATGAGCCAGTGACTAGGACATCCTCCATTATTACGCATGTCCCTTCTAGTCCTACTATTACTTGTTCTATGAATCGTTGCCATATGGCTAGACTCAAAGAAATTCCAAATGGTAATCTCGTTTATCGGTATAATCCCCGATGTGTGCCTCGTCTTCCAAAACTAACTGTTGGTATGCACATTTCACATCAATCCTCCCTTGAATTTGGTATAATACTTCCTCTGGAGTCAGTATTGGATACTGATCGAAATGTAAACTTGGGTTTACTGTTATTTATAATCTCCACCGACACATACTCTTCAATAGGCCTTTGGAATACAGACCAATGGGGTTGCCAATTGACTAAAATCTACCGGGTAAATTACTCATTCGCCCTGCATCCGGTTTAAGTCTTTCTCAACTGCAGGGCGAAGTGCAAAGTGAACATTTCGAGCTTTGCAGAATTTGGGAATCACATTTCCTTTCAAATGTAACGTCGCTTTGTGTCCTTTAACTGTACCTATTGACGTCCTAATTTAAAGAATGCCCTGTAGTGTGCACCCCACTTCTCCATAGAGGGCAAGTAAGCCTAAACCTGGACCTACAGGCATATTTCTAACTAGGATGGACTACTGGACCTAGGATATGTTTCACTACAAGTAGTAAATGGAAATGTGCCACGAAATGGTGGAAAACGACTACAATGTAGAGCAGATGGGCGTATCCTTAGCCTTTTTCTATCTAGTGCTGGATGTAAGCCTCTCCACCAACTTCCCATTTTTTTCGATCTCTTGCCAGTTGTTTTTTTCCACTGAATTCCCTGATCTCATTTTGCCATCTCTTAGGCAGCCATCCCCTTCTTCTTGAGAGTGTAAGTGGCGTCCAATCGCTGATCTTTCGTGTCCACCTGTTATCCATTCTTCTCATGAGATGTCCTGCCCATTTCCACTTTTTCTTCTTGATTTCTACTATAATATCCTTTACATCAGTCCCTTCTCTTAGATACTCATTTCTTATTCTGTCTATTTTTGTGACACCAATCATTATTCTTTCCATCCTGTGGCTCAGTTTTTGCTCCATACTTTGTAGTTGTCAAGGTTTCGGAACCATGACAGAACCGGAATTCTACATTGGTTGCAAAGCTGTCGTTTCATATTGATGGGTATTTCCTTATCTTTCAACATGTAGCTAAGTTTTCCATATTTTGCCCAGGACAGCTGTATTCTTCTCTTTATCTCATCTGTATTTCCTCCTGAAAATGTTATCTTCTGACCCAAATAGATATATTCTTTTACAGTTTCCACTGTTTCATGGGGTAGGGATATTGAAATATGAGAGGGGGGTCTATGTACATGACCAAGCCCGACATCACCTAGCATCTAGTTGTACTGCTATAAGTTTCTTGTGAAAATCTTTCCTCAGATGTTATCAATATTTATCAATATTCCCACATAAATCGATATTTTCATCCTGCTTTCCTCGTCTATTCAAGTACATCACACACTGACAGAAAACATTACTTGCTTTTTCCCCAAATGGTTGCTAAGCCATGTCTATTTACTATGACATTGGGAAAATCCCCTGAAAGAGTCAGAACAGAGGGCAGCATATATAAGCTGGAAAATCAGCCTGTACCGTATACGGGCCCCACCTCCTGAGAATTAGCCTGTATGGATATGGGCCACTATGTCAAAATGTTTAAAAAAAAGCCTGTTGTAAGAGTTTTTTTTAAATTTTGCTTCAAAATTTGTAATGTTCTTTTGCAATGGAAATGAATAAAAAATTTTCATTGAATTCCTGCTGCAAGTAGACTTTGCACATAATGATCGTTTAATTTCAAATGGAGACTTAACATTAACTGGAATTCAAAGAATACAACAATAAACAACAACTACTTGTACAAAACCCATGCCATTTTTTATCAATGGTTATTCTGCTACAATTATAGACCTGCTGTTCATAAATCAAGCAACTGACATCAGTCATGTTATTGTAAATGATCCTCTTTCCACCTCACTTCACTGCACTGTTCATTTCCCATGGTGACTTCAAACAAAATGGCAGATCCCTCTAAGAACTAATCACAAATATGCAAAGCTGACAAAACTTTTAACTTTAACTTAACTTGCTCTGTGATTTGATTTCTAAATTGAAATTGCAATGTTGCATGTTATTTACGTTAATATACGACCTTTTGTAAAACAATTTTGTGCTGAAATGTTATCGTGTTTAAATGAAATGAAAAAATGAATGAAGGTGGAAGGCACTCTACAAATATACTACCATTACTTCTTGTAGTGGTGGTAACTGTTCTCTTTGGAACAGATTGCGATGTTAAGATACTAGAGTGTAAGCGATGGAAGTAAGCTCACCCTCTAGTTATTATTAATAACAACAGTGAACAGTGAATTTTAGAAACCTGGGATTGTGGGAGAATTTTTATCTTTTTCGTTCTTCTGACCTGGGGTGGATTGCTATAAAAGGGTCTTAACTAGTAGTCTTAACTCCATGAATACTAAAGTCATTCCGCTAAGACCATTGCTATAAAACTGCTTTGAGTACTGAAACACAAACAAGCACTCCATTGTAACATAAGATTGAGGGCGACATCATGCTTGCTAAACGCACGCACATGTACCAAAATAAACGTAAACCTATTTTTACAGATGCTGTGAAGCGTGAGGAATATTCCTTGTTCAATTCTCGGTCTTTGACGATCTAGCCTAGGCCTATAAATGTATTAGTAACTGTTAACGCCATGATGAAAATTATTTAAGACCGTTTTAAGCCTCCTCCTCCGAGTAAGCTATTAAAATTTAAGACGTCTAACTGGTTAGACTGCGGTATAGCAATAGTCTATAATCATAGTAGTAGTGACGTCACGATTATAGCCGGCTAAGCGTTAAGACCGTCTCAAGACCACTTATAGCAATCCGCCCCAGGCTCTCAACCCAGCTTGCGACCCATCCCAAAAAGCTTGGCGATCTACTTTTAGAACACAGGTGGGAAAAATGAGGCCCTAACAGATATTTGAAAATTAAAAACACCTTTTTTTAACACCCACCATCTGTAAAAATTAATATTAAAACTGAGAAAAAAGTGGTATAAATGCAATGCATGAATGTTTTTGAAAGCACACTTGAAACATCAAAGTTAGGGTGCAGCCCTCTGTGTTAATCAATAATTCATGTTGGTCCTCTGACTGATTTTTATGCCCACCCATGTGTTAGGATGTGACCCATAGTTTAGAAAGAAAGCCTATCTCACAATGCACACAAACTTACCACAATATTGTACTCCTCTGGAACTTCAATATAAAATACAAACCGTCCGCCTCTCCAGTACCCTTCCTCCGGACATATAGCCAACTCGAAATGGTGCAGTGAGTCAACATTTTCAAACTCAACTTCACAGGTGGCTGACAATGGTAATATATAAATGTATTAATTATCACATTATGAATGCAGGTCTCCCTCCAATTATAGTCCACTTTTGAAGACTGGGGTTTTTCTGGTCTTTAATAATAATAATAAATTTAATTTTATATAGTGCAGAATGCTATAAACCTCTATGCGCTTTACATTAAATGCAAAAGCCAGAAAAAATTTAAAAGAAACGATAATTAAAACGGTGATCGAATCAAACAATCGCAATTAAAACAAAAAACAGGATAATTTTATGATTAATTTTTATTTATTTATTTAAATTTTATTTTTATAATATTAATGTTTAATTATTCAAATGCCAACTAAGTTTTTATTTCAATTACCTCCTCATTCAATTTTCTTTATTCTTTATCCATTTTATTTTAGATTTCTTATCAATTCAACTATTTCATTGTTTACATTTTGTTAGTGTTTGGCTTGTCATTTCTTTCCTTTCCTCCCAACAACCCTTGCTTGTATTTTGCAATCCTAAGTTCCTTATCTATCCTTATGTTCCCTTAACTTTCCTATCCTTTTCCATTCTAGTGTTTCCTTATCTTTCCTTTCCTTTTCCTTTCTTATGCAGCCTGCTTCTTTATCATTCCTTTCTTATGTTTCCTTATCATTTCTTTCCTTTTTTCCCCCTATTTCCATATCTTTTCTTTCCTTTTCCTTTGTTGTTTCCTTATCTTTTCTTTCATTTTTCTTTCTTATGTTTCCTTATTGTATTTCCCTTTTCCTCTGTTATGTTTCCTTATCATTTCTTTCTTTTTCCTTTCTTTGTTTTCTTATCTTTTTCTTTCTATGTTTCCTTATATCTTTCCTTTTCCTTTCTTATGTTTCCTTATGATTTCTTTCCTTTTCTTTACTTGTTTCCTTATCTTTTCATTCCTTTTACTTTTTTTATTTCATTATCTTTTCTTTCCTTTTCCTTTCTTATGTTTCCTTATCTTTTCTTTCCTTTCTTATGTTTCCTTATCTTTAGCAGCTATGGTCGTTAATTCGAAAAATTATTTAATGATAAAGAAAAAAAAAACAAACATTCGCTTGGGCTGCAGAAAGGTGGTTTTAAAGTGGAGGGAGACCTGTTAATAACATTAAAGAGCGATCAACAAATTATTCAAAACGACCGAAATGCATTTTGAAGTGAATTCTATTCTGATATCCTACCATTTGGGACCGTTTATGGAGCCTACCGTCCAGATGCGTATATTCCGTTTGGCTTTTTCTCCTCCCAAAATCATGCCTGACTGAGCGCAAATTGTTATTGTCTAAACGCGTTCACAAAACGTGATTAAATTCCTGAGTACGTCACATACAAACTAGGTCCATCATCATCATCAAGCTTTATTTTATAACGTACATCGTCCAAACTGCATACTTGCTATAGGCCTAGGCCTAATTAATTCTACTAGAACTATTACTCTACCAGGCCTATAGTCGCTTAATAATTTACATTGATGAATATGGATGAACTAGAGTTAGGTATTGTACAAACCTATCTACTGTACAATATACCTCTGCGGTAGAATGTACGGTAAAAATTTAATATTATAATTTATATTCAAGATACAGCCTGCATACAGCGGTCTGGAAAGCATTCAAACATTTTTTTAATTTTTTTTAATTTTATAGGCCTACGTATTTTGTTTGAATGTTTTAACAGACGATAGGCCTATTTACACATTAGTGGTTTTTTTTCAATAAATGTGTAATTACGGCAGCAATAATTTCCAAACACTTTAACAGCAATAAGAAGCAATGAAACAACATTCACTTCTATCATCTCTGATGATTACATTTTATTTATACAGATGACCAAACGACCTAAGCCTACTTTCAGTATCGGCTGACATACTCACAGCGGCGCACAAAGGAGCCAGCCATTGGGAAAAGTATAGTAGGTGTGAGCATATTCAGTGATTCAGACATTATAGTTAAAGCTGTCTAGGCAACAGGTATAGCTTATACAATTATTTCCTGGCTAAATAGCCTAGGTTTCACATGGCCTTCTTAGTGGGGGGGGGGGGCCGGTGGAATAGAGGTTGAAGTCACTAGTCAAAAGAGCAACAACCGTAATTCTTGTGTGCGTCTCCCCGCCAACTTAGTTCAAGTTCGAACAGACCGGCATATCTGAAAGACAGCCGCAAAAGGTTTAAACAATAGCAAACAATACTACAGGAACGTGTCCAAACGGTAGTTTACAAGGCTGTAAACAAGAACAAAACTTCTGCAAACTGTTCAGACGCATCTGACGGTTCGAACTGTTCAGACGCGTCTCGTGAACATTACAGTAGCGCTTATCTAATGAACATTCATAATGTGATTTAATCAGGACGATTGTTTTTTGCCAATCACATTTGGGATTGCTTTGTCTTGCTGAACGCGTCTTTGTCGTTTTAATTCGAATAAGTTGTTGATATTTGAATACTACAATATATACAATTAATTACATTATAAAATTTTTTTCTATATCACTTTTACTCATCAAAAAAATACATCAATACACATTACAATTCATATTAAATGGAGTGAATAAAAGGAAACGAAAAACCCCAGATTTGTCGAATTAAAAGAACACGCAGGGGGTGCCGCAAGACAAAAACATCATAAACAAATTCGGACATCAAAAACAAAGAAACATGAGGAAAAAAAAAAAGAACAATAAGACAGTTCAGCGTCGAGGACCAGAAGGCAGTGAAATAGCGAAACTTGATGTTGAATAGAGGCGGGTTTATCCAGGTGGGTTCATCTCTAGCGTAATAAATGCTGTAAGATGAAACTAAGGCAATTTTTGAAATTTTGTCTTTAAAAGGCTTAAATGATATGGGACAGTTAATAGATTTATGGATAGTTTTAAGGTGTGTATTGTTGTCGTCAGAGATGAACCCCCTAGAATCCACCTCCAGAGCAACAAAATCGACCTTGAACCCAGAGCTGAGGATATCTGAAACCAATGGGGCATATTTATTAGTTTTGAATGTGTGGGCATTATCAATGCAGGAATGGCGAGTTCCATGATGAAGAGTTTCTTCAAGTCAGGCTAGAGGATACAAAGGTCAGGAATCAAATTAGTGATGGTACACTGTGAGGGCACAGTGGTAAAATGAGGGGCATCCTGGGTTCTGGGGAAAAGTTCACAATTAACAATCAGAGGACGAGGTTGGCCTTTAACCCTTCCTTAGCGGAATTGGCTATAAATCTGAGAATATTATTGTGCCTCCACGTAAGGCAGCTCTGATCCAGAGAGCGCTTGCAAAAATTGAGGACATGATGCAGGCTCCCACGATTACCACAGGCCTTGCATTTCTCTGATACTTTAAATCCCCATCGTTGAAGGTTAACGCTGGTATTCAGAGTGTCTTCAAATGAATTAAACATAAATTTGAGAATACCTGAAGGCAGATTATACACCATTTTATTCTAATGAGTAGAGGACTCCTGCTTAGCCAACAAATCATAAAATCAATCCTGAACAAGGAGCCCCCTCACGTGGAGGTTCCATGAAGATTGCACATTGGAATTTAGTTTAGACTTGGCACTTTTCTTAAGGTTTTTAAGAGAAGAATGTGGATTTTCTTCACAAACTTCTTTATACAGTGTTTCAGCTTTATTGCACATAGAAATTTTCCTTTCCAGCTACTCTCGCGTTCGACCTGAGAATCGAGACAATGATTTACAAGTTCCCCGCCTTTAACCCTAGAAGAAATATGGCTGGTAACATGACATTGACGATACAAATCAGATATGAGTGGGATATTTAAACCTTTAGACATGTATGAATAAACACAAGAGTGGCTGGACGAGAAAGACCACACCATTTCTTTAAATATTTATTTGAGATGGAATCAAGCTTTTCCAAATGGCTATTGCACACATTGTTATAACTGTAAGGTGATATCTGATAGATGGTAAAAAATAGTCAGCATATATTCTGATCTTATATTCTGATCGAACAAGAGCTTTATAAATTTTATCAATAGATTTGGAATTTAATTAATTCAAATACACAAAAATATCCTGTTCCGTGTTTTTAAAAGTTATTAAAGAGCCCAGGAACTTATGGGGATCATTTTCAATGGAAAGGATATTGTCAGTATTTAAATTAAATGTTTGTAGCACTCCCACGGGAGATGGAGAGGGAATGGCTCTTAGCCGGTTTAAGATGGAGTCCCATAGATAATGATCGAGAGTTAATTTCGTTTATTAAGCATTGATGAGTTCTTTTATTTGAAGTGATAAGACAAAAGTCGTCTGCAAAGGGGGTGGTAATAACTTTTTCCCCTCTACATCGTACCCGTGGGAGTGCTGTTTTTCCTGAAACTGAACAATTGGTTCAAAACATAAAAGGAATATAATTGGAGAAAGAGGGTCGCCCTGAATAAATAAATTAATTACCTATATACTAATAACTATAATTGAAGGCAAAGCAACTGCAGCCATCCTTATAGATTTGAAAAAGGCCTTTGACACAATCGATCACAAACTCCTCATATCAAAACTTAATGACTGTGGAATTCAGAAATCTGCCCTAAATTGGTTCATTTCTTATCTTAATAATAGGTCTCAAATTGTTCAAATTAGTTCAACCCTATCTGATCCAATGAAAATTAACATTGTTATTCCCCAAGGGCCATTTTAGGCCCATTGTTATTTATTATCTATGTTATTTCCCTACCAAATGTCACTCAATGTAAATGTGTAATGTATGCAGACGATACTACCATTTTATGCAATTCTTCCGATCCCACTCTTCTCCAAAATGAACTAAATTCAAATTTAATCAAAGTTGCTGAATGGTTTGATAAAAATAAACTTACATTAAATATTAAAAAAACTAAACATACATGTATGTTCTTTGCAACCAATGCAATTTTACCTAAATTTTCAAATATTTCATTATTTTATAATGGCATGACTATTGATGACAGAGTTGATTCATTCAAATATCTTGGAGTTGTGTTTGATTCTAAATTAACATGGTCTGAACATA